TCTTCTCATTCTTCTTTTCATTCTTCTTCTTCTTCTTTTCATTCTTCTTCTTTTCATTCTTCTTTTCATTCTTCTTCTTCTTCTTTTCATTCTTCTTCTTTTCATTCTTCTTTTCATTCTTCTTCTTCTTCTTCTTCTTCGTCGTGCCCCGTGACTGCCCAAATGAGTGAAGTGTGCGGTGATTCTAAGATCGACGGCACTCATCTGCATGTCATACTGACTGACAGTATTATTTCTCTTCCCCAGCAGACTCCAAGGGCATTTAAATTAAAGGTACAGTGTTCTGCACTAATATAAAGGCTCTCTGAAGCCTAGAAACACCCTTTTATAAGTTAAATTCGCAGCGAATATATTCGACTCGAATCGAAATTTTTCCACGAATTCGCCGAATCAGTCGAATCGAATTTTTGAATACTTCGCTCATCTCTAATTGTAATGTATTGTATTGTAATGTATTATTTCTTTTTATTTTTTTTTGTATACACACATTTTTGCCTTTCATTTCTATTTTAACCATTTGCCCTCCAGAGGATTCACCCCCCTTCCTGAACAGGCCATTTTTTGCGATACGGCACTGCATTATTTAACTGACAATTGTGCGGTCATGCAATGCTGCACTCAAATGAAATTTACGTCCTTTTTTTCCCACAAATAGAGCTTTCTTTTGGTGGTATTTGATCGCCTGTGTGTTTTTTTATTTTGTGCGCTATAAACAAAAAAAGACCGACAATTGTGAGAAAAAAAACAATATTTTTAACTTTTTGTTATTAACCCCTTGATGCGAACATAACACAAATATACGGCCTCACAGAACTGGGCTTTTTTCCGCGGGGACGCATATTTGTGTACCTGTCTTTGTGCTGGGAGCACACCGCACAGCACACTCCCAGCACAAAGACCGCGATGTCAGTGAGAGCCCCGGATCTCGTTCTAACAATCGGGACCCAGGACTCCCGATTCCGGGTCATATGATCGCTGTGATAGGCTCTGATTGGCTATCACAGTGATCAGTCACTGTACAGCCCAGCCCCCTTGTTTGTTTCTCTCTCTATGAATGGAGGAGAGAGATATATTCAGGGGCGGACTGACAGCTCATGGGGCCCCCGGGCATAGCAGAGCCATACAAAGCAGTGTGCAGTTGCTGACGGGAGAGATCTGTGTGGCTTATACACAGGTCTCTCCCCTGTTGTTAATACTCGGCGATCACTGGGTGCTGGCGAGTAGTCACTGCCCAGGACTCGGTGATTGACAGCCGAGGCCATGAATGGCGGCACGGCACAGGCACATGCATGGAATTCAAAATCACGTGTATATATACATGACTTTGTGCACCTCTGCCGCGATTTATGCTGTATTTCTGCTATAGGGCAGACTGGAAGTGGTTAAACTGTGAATGGGTCGTTTTACTAGGTGAGGGCTTACTTGAAGCAAATTTTTCTGTTTGTGAATCCTGACAAAATCAACACTTCCTGTTTCAGAATGACAATGCTATGTCACTGCCTCACACACACCAGCAGAGTTGTCAGCCCGGCGTCCCTTTCAGTTGGTTGTTTCTATCTGATAGACTCAATAGACAACTCTGGGCCAATTAACCTCCCTGGTGGTATTCCTGAGTGTAGCTCGGGGTAAAGTTTCAGCACCACAATCGGTAACCCCGAGCTACACTCAGGCTTACCATGCGGCGTTGCTCCGGGATCTCTCGATCACTTACCTTGTCCTGCACTCCCGCGATGCCCCCCCTGCAGTGTCCCCTGTAATGTCCTCCGGCGGATGCCGGCATCTGTCATCTGGGTCCTGTCCCCTGCGACGTCGGGACGTACGGGGGATGGAACGGCGGGAAATTTGAAAATGACAAAAAGTGACATTCACTAAAATCACATAATATAACATTCCTGTATCAAACCATTTCACATACATTTTGTCCCAAGTGCTTTGTCCGGCGCCCTGTCTGCATTTTTACTGTTCTTTCTGCCTGGAAACTGAGAAACGTTACAGGCCTCCTATAGCTGCTGCCAGGCCCCTAATCTGCCATGGGCCCCTATACCGCCTCCTCATGCTGCTGCCAGGTCCAGAGTCTCTCATGGGTCCCTGTACGGCCTCCCATTGCTGCTGTCTCCATCGCCACACTCTGACATGTACCACTTTCAGGTCTCCTCACACACTGCTGGTGTGTTGAATTTTTTGACATAGGGTGCTGGCAGATTACGGGCCTCCCATAGCTGCTGCCAGGCCCCTAATATGCCATGGGCCCCTATACCGCCTCCTCATGCTGCTGCCAGGTCCACAGTGTCTCATGCCATGTGCCACTTTCAGGTCTCCTCACACTGCTGGTGTGTTCCATTTTTTGTCATAGGGTGCTGGCAGATTACGGGCCTCCTATAGCTGCTGCCAGGCCCCTAATCTGCCATGGGCCCCTATACCGCCTCCTCATGCTGCTGCCAGGTCCAGAGTCTCTCATGGGTCCCTGTACGGCCTCCCATTGCTGCTGTCTCCATCGCCACACTCTGCCATGTGCCACTTTCAGGTCTCCTCACACTGCTGGTGTGTTCCATTTTTTGTCATAGGGTGCTGGCAGATTACGGGCCTCCCATAGCTGCTGCCAGGCCCCTAATCTGCCATGGGCCTCTGTACCGACTCCTCATGCTGCTGCCAGGCCCGTAATCTGTCATGGGCCCCTGTACCGCCTCCTCATGCTGCTGCCAGGTCCAGAGTGTGTCATGGGTCCCTGTACGGCCTCCCATTGCTGCTGTCTCCATCGCCACACTCTGCCATGTGCCACTTTCAGGTCTCCTCACACTGCTGGTGGTTTCCATTTTTGTCATAGGGTGCTGTATGGCCTCCCATTGCTGCTGCCTCCACCGCCACACTGTGGCTCCACACTCTGGTTTTGGCCCCGTGACTGCCCAAATGAGTGAAGTGTGCGGTGATTCTAAGATCGACGGCACTCATCTGCATGTCATACTGACTGACAGTATTATTTCTCTTCCCCAGCAGACTCCAAGGGCATTTAAATTAAAGGTACAGTGTTCTGCACTAATATAAAGGCTCTCTGAAGCCTAGAAACCCTTTTAATAAGTTAAATTCGCAGCGAATAAATTCGCATCGAATCGAATTTCTCCTGCAAATTCGGCGAATCAGCCGAATCGAATTTTTGAATAATTCGCTCATCTCTGATTGCAACCAATCAGCGTCTAAGTTCAGCTTGTTTAATGAAAGTGATTGTAAACCCTCACCCTGTAAAATAGAAATTAAAGGTTCACCTTTTGATAAAAAAAATAATAAATGCACATTTTTTGCACGTAAAAAATATGTGCTTTAATTATTTTTTGCTGCAGAAGCCTGCAAAGCATTACACCAGCAATCAGCAGATGGCTGGTGCCATGCAGGGCTCCTGCAGATCTGCCAGTATATCTGCTTGGCTATATGGGATGTACAGGCAAGCAGATATACTGACAGGAAGAGTCAATGAACTACTATGGTCATACTAGTTCATTGAGAACTACAAGCCAACGCCGCTACGGCTGTCAGGACTTGTAGTTTCTCCTTCACAGAGGAATGATGTGACCGGGCAGGCAGAGCCCCACACAGCTGCATTTTTTTTAAATTTTGACAGCTAGCAGAGAGGGGGAGAAGATCCTTGGCTAGCTGTCAAAGCTGGGGATAGCCAGGGAGTGGGGACCGGTGCTTTCATAACATGTTACACCCTGAATATGGGTGTAACATGTAACATGTTATGAAAGGTGAATTTATCCTTCACAGGAAAATCATTTGTATATAGATATGAAAAACATTATAAACACTTTTTTCCTTCTTTTTTCAAAGTGATCACATACCCTCTGTTCTCTCATAAGAGCTGGACGAGGAGAAACAGCAGCATACTCATCTTCCCAGTGAAAGGCTATGCAGGGGGAGGGTTTTTTTCAGGACAAATCTGATCCTTGGAGGAGAGGACACTGAGTTCCCAGCACAGCTAGAGAACTGACCACACTGTGCTGTAATGCCTAGTGTGGTCAGTTTTTAATAGGAAAGCAGAGAGACTGTCTGGAGCACCAGGGATTTTACACAAAGAATACAAAGACAACAGGCTACTTTTTCATACAAGAATATTGTACAGCAGGCACATATCAGGAATATGAAATGTTGGGTTTACATATTCTTTAAACTTTGACAACAAAACCCAGAACTGATTGGTTACTATGCACAGCTGCACAGGATTCTGTGTACTCCAGTCCCCTTAATGACTTTCCTTAGGCCATCTCTTCAAATAACTAACACTAACTAAGGGAACATGGAGGAAATGGGGAAGGTCTAGCTAGAACTAAACTAACTAGCACTAAACATGAGGGGAGGACAGAGGAAGATACCAAAATCACATAATAAATAAGTTGCAGTGGCCCAGAAACCGCCATTAGATGTCAACATACTACAAAACTATCTAATAAGCTAATGCAGTGAAAGTGGGGCAGAACAAAATGTATCTAAATCCAAGAACAAAATGTAATATGCAGCTTATTCATCCTTAGGTCTGGTGGCTGCATTAGTTTTCCTTATTCAGGATTTTTGTCCTTAATTTTTAACTGGTGGACCTGCCAATAACACTTTCTGGTCTGCTAGATTTTAAAGCTTCACACTTTTTGGGTGGCTTTATATTAAATTATATATTGTTGTTCTCCCTGGGCACTTTAAGTGGAACCTAAAGTGTTACTAAACCCCGGACCCTGCATTCACTATATTTTGGTCTCCCCGGACCCTGCATTCACTATATCTGGTCTCCCCGGACCCTGCATTCACTATATCTGGTCTCCCCCGGACCCTGCATTCACTATATCTGGTCTCTGAGGACCCTGCATTCACTATATCTGGTCTCCCCGGACCCCGCATTCACTATATCCGGTCTCCCCGGACCCCGCATTCACTATATCCGGTCTCCCCGGACCCCGCATTCACTATATCCGGTCTGCGCGCGGACCCCGCATTCACTATATCTGGTCTCCCCGGACCCCGCATTCACTATATCCGGTCTCCCCGGACCCTGCATTCACTATATCCGGTCTCCCCGGACCCTGCATTCACTATATCTGGTCTCCCAGAACCCTGCATTCACTATATCTGGTCTCCCCGGACCCCTGCATTCACTATATCTGGTCTCCCCGGACCCTGCATTCACTATATCTGGTCTCCCCGGACCCTGCATTCACTATATCTGGTCTCTGAGGTCTCTGACCCTGCATTCACTATATCTGGTCTCCCCGGACCCCGCATTCACTATATCCGGTCTCCCCGGACCCCGCATTCACTATATCCGGTCTCCCGGACCCCGCATTCACTATATCCGGTCTGCGCGGACCCCGCATTCACTATATCTGGTCTCCCCCGGACCCCTGCATTCACTATATCTAGTCTCCCAGGACCCTGCATTCACTATATCTGGTCTCCCAGGACCCTGCATTCACTATATCTGGTCTCCCCGGACCCTGCATTTACATATCTGGTCTCCCCGACCCTGCATTCACTATATCTGGTCTCCCAGACCCTGCATTCACTATATCTGGTCTCCCAGGACCCTGCATTCACTATATCTGGTCTCCCCGGACCCTGCATTCACTATATCTGGTCTCCCCGGACCCTGCATTCACTATATCTGGTCTCCCCGGACCCTGCATTCACTATATCTGGTCTCCCCGGACCCTGCATTCACTATATCTGGTCTCCCCGGACCCTGCATTCACTATATCTGGTCTCCCCGGACCCTGCATTCACTATATCTGGTCTCCCCGGACCCTGCATTCACTATATCCGGTATCCCACAGTGCACACAACATGGAAGTGCAATTATTTAGTAAATATAAACTGTCAAATACCTTTTTTCATCAGCAGTTAGAGCAATCTGTGACTTCTATCAGTGTCCAGCAGAACACTGGTTACAGCTTGTATGAAGAGTTTTCTTTCTGCTTTAGGAGGAGGCAGAACCCCTGACCTCCTCCTACCCACCTCCCAGAACTGAAGCAGCTGAATAGATCCCTTGCAACCTGCCACAATGGACCACCTCAGCAACAAAAGATCCTCCCCACAGCAAAAGATCCCACCTAACAACAATAAGTTCCCCACAACCACCCTCACCCCCAATTACAATACATCCATGCCAGCAGCAACATCAGATCTCCCTGCAGCCAGTATGAATAGACTCTCCAGCAGTCAGCATCAATAGACCTCTCCCTCAAGACTAGATCCCTCCTAGCAACATAAGACCCAAGCAGGGGCGGACTGACAACTCATGGGGCCCCCCGGGCAATAGGGGATCATGGGGCCCCTGTGTCCTTGCCCAAACTCAAAAAAGTCTATGAGAAAGGTACCAGGGGCATCTCATGGGGCCCCCTACTGACCCAGGGCCCTCGGACAGTGCCCGAGTTTCCAAATGGTCAGTCCGGCCCTGGACCTAAGAGATGCCCACCAGCATCAATAGACCTGCCCGGCAACAATAGAATCCCATGAAAAAATAGATCTCCTCCAGTGACAATAGGCTTCCATGCAAAAATAGATCTCCTCCAGCATCGATAGATCTCCAACACACCCCAGCACCCCTTGCCATTACATACATTCAGTCCTGGAGGTCCCCACGTTCCTGCTGACAAAAAAGTGAACTGAAGACTCCAGTGCTGCAAGGCTGAAGTGCTAACCAATTATTCAATTGTGCTATTTAGGGTTTAACCTCTTGCTGTCCGCCTGCTGTTTTTAAACGGCAGGACGGTGGCACTCCGGGGGCGGGTTGCCGTTCATAAACGGCACCCGCTATTTCTAGTTGTGCGCTCTCCCTGGGAGCGCGCAGCACCGCGATCCAGTGCCTGCTGTGTCCTCCGGACACAGTGAAACACCGATCGTCGGACGGGACCTTTGTATGAGGTCCCGATCATGTGATCACTGATTGGCCAATCAGTGATCACATGCAAAGTAGTAAGCAAGATGTCACTTGTGACATCATTGATTACTACGTGTGAAATCTGTGAATGATCACAGAGGTCACATGGTACAAGGCTATTCACAACAGCCTTGTACCATGTGACAAGCTCTGACCAATCACAGCTCACACAGTATTTCTCAATGGCTGCAAGAATGCAGACAGAGAGAAAGAGAAATTATTGCTTTTACATCCTATATGGGTGTAAAAGCAATCACTGTAAAAAAAAAAAAAACTTTATCACCCCCCACAAGTAGTACAGTGTCACCATGGTGACACTGTACTGCTAGGGTGACGGAATGTAAAAAAAATAAAAAAATAAATAATAATATAAAAAAATAAAATAAAAATGTAAAAAAAAATGTTTAAAAATTATAATTTTTGGTTATAACTAATTTGGCGTATTTATTTTTTACTAAAAAGATAACGGAATACATTTTGGCCAAGATTTATGATGAAATATTATTCATTTGCAAAATTTTATAAGAAAAACACTTTTTTCAAAATTTTTGGACATTTTTATTTATATAGGAAAAAAATAAAAATCCCAGTGGTGAATAAATACCACCAAAATAAAGCTTTATCTGTGTCCAAAAAATGGTAAAAAATTCATATGGGTTCAGTGTTGCATGACCGCGCAATTGTCATTCAAAGTGTGATAGCGCTGAAAAACTGAAAATTGCCCTGGACAGGAAGGGGGTGAAAGTGTCCGGACTGGAAGTGGTTAACAAATACTTGAGTATTCTCCATTCCTCTCTACAGTCCAACCTTGGTTGTGAACCAATCTCATCAAATAATTACTTAAGTAATGTGACTGTAGAATGTGAAACTCAGCACATAGCGCAGAAACAATGACAGAGGGAGCTGAGCCCTTATCTCTCTCTTTTTATTCTTAAAACCCCGCTTGGTAAAATGTGATTAGCCGATTATAGAAAATATTGCTAAAGAAAATACTGCGTCTGACAAACGTCCACTGGGCAAGCCTGGGAAAATTAATTGGTGGAAGCCTTCAAACAAAGAGCTTTGAGCAGATCAAGACATCTCACTCAGTCATCTCAACACAAAACCCAGAAATGGAGGGGAGGAAATATCTGAAAGGCTTTGAGGAGGGGCTGCTAAAAACTGGATTTCCCAAGGGCTACGTAATAGTGCCGGTGGATTGTAGGAGAATAGCTGTGACCATTATTTTCAGACCACAGAATATAACTGTACAAGGGAAGAAAACCCGTCTATGGTTAATATATGCGTGATGGTCATATACTGTATGTAGAGGAGATAAATGCTATATACACTATATTGCCAAAAGTATTGGTCGGCCTGTCTTTACACCAACATGAACTTTAACGGCAGCCCAGTCTTAGTCCGTAGGGTCGAATATTGAGTTGGCCCCGCCCTTTGCAGCTATAACAGCTTCAACTCTTCTGGGAAGGCCATCCACAAGGTTTAGGAGGGTGTCTATGGGAAGGTTTGACCATTCTTCCAGAAGCACATTTGTGAGGTCAGGCACTGATGTCGGATGAGAAGGCTTGGCTCACAGTCTCCGCTCTAATTCATCCCAAAGGTGTTCTGTGGGGTTGAGGTCAGGACTCTGTGCAGGCCAGTCAAGTTCCTCCACCCCAAACTTGCTCATCCATGTCTTTATGGACCTTGCTTTGTGCACTGGTGTGCAGCCATGTTGGAACAGGAATAGGCCATCCCCAAACTCTTCCCACAAAGTTGGGAGCATGAAATTGTCCAAAATGTCTTGGTATATTGACGCCTTAAGAGTTCCCTTCACTGGAACTAAGGGGCCAAGCCCAACCCCTGAAAAACAACCCCACACCATAATCCCCCCTCCACCAAACTTTACACTTGGCACAATGCCCCCAGCCACCTCAATACTTACCTGAGCTCCATCACGATCCAGCGATTTGCATGACAGCCTCGATCTCTGCCTCCTCATTGGCTGAGACAGCATTTTGGAGCCATAGGCTCCCGCTGCTGTCAATCGCATCCAGTCAGCCAATGAAAAGAGAGAGGGGCGTGGCCAACCCATGGCTCCATATGTGAATGGGCACACGGGGCAGTGGGTGCCCCATAGTAAGCAAGCTGCTTGCTGTTGGGGCACCCGACAGGAGGGAGAGGCAGGAGAGCCTGCGGGGGGACCCAAGAAGAGGAGGATTCAGACGGCTCTGTGCAAAACCACCGCACACAGACATGTTTGTTAATTTACAACAACATAAAAAGAACCTTTAGAATCCCTTTAAAATTATTCAAAAGACTTAAATGAATTAAAAACAAATTTTGCATACAGCAGTCCAATTCCTCCTCTTCTCGGGTTCCCCTGGCCCCTCCTTCTTGTTGGGTACACCCACAGCAAGCAACTTTCTATGGGGGCACCCGAGCAGGCTCACTCTTAAGCCACTGCCCCGTGTGTCCATTAACACACAGAGCCGCAGCTCTGCCCTGCCCCTCTCTCTTTTCATTGGCTCACTGGCTGTGATTAACAGCAGCAGCTGCTGTTTCAGCCAATGAGAAAAGGGATTCCCAGGATAGCCAAGACCCCAGTGCACAGTGCTGGATCAAGAGGGGGCTTAGGTGAGTATTAGGGGGACTGGGGGGATGCTGTACACTGAAGGTTTTTTACCTTCATGCATAGAATACACGAAGGTAAAAACCCTTGAACCTTTACAACCACTTTAAGCTGACCGTATATTGATCAAAACTGGTTCAGCAGGGACTGGCTGAATTTCAATCTATGTATAGGCACTCTGGTTATACAGAAATTGATCTACTGATGGACTTCTGTACAACCGTCCTGTTAGCCCCGGTTTACATATGTGTGGCCATGCGGGCCGCATTTTGCGCAGGCACAAGAGCCCATTCATTTGAATAGACTCCCGTGCCCCGTGACACGCAGGGAAGAAGTCTCTGCACTTCTTCTGAAAACGCAGCTCGCACGGGAACCTCGGTTCCCAGTACGGTTGCGTTTTCCAGTGCAGGTGGCGTGCCATTAGAACTAATGGCACCAACCCGCGGGTCCGCATTCCTCTGTGCAGGTGGTGCGGCTGCATGGATTTTTGTGCAGATCCACAGCGGCACCACCCGCACAGATGTGAACCAAGCCTCAGATTTTCCCCGCTTGACCAGTGCCCGTAGCCGGCAGCGGTGATCAGTGTACTCTGGCGGGGAAGTCCTTCCGCTCTCAGAATACAATAATCCAGCGGGAGGATTTCCCCATCCATCTTGAATGTATGAATGAAGGAATGGGGTCAGGCTGGTTGAATGAAAAACAGACTCAGGTATTGGCTGCCTTAGTCACCATTAGGATTCTTACTGCCTGATTTTGCAGTGTGTTTGTTGGGGCAGGGGCGGACTGACCATTTGGAAACTGGGGCACTGCCTGAGGGCCCAGGGTCAGTAGGGGGCCCCATGAGATACCCCTGGTACCTTTTTAATAGGCTTTTTTGAGTTTGGGCACGGACACAGGGGCCCCATGATCCCCTATTGCCCAGGGGCCCCATGAGTTGTCAGTCCGCCCCTGGTTGGGGGTGAGGGGGGTTAATTATTATTATACATGATTTATATGGCGCCAACAGTTTGCTCAGCACTTTACACAATATAAAGGGAGACAATACAGCAACAATACAGTTCAATACAAGGGTTAGGAGGGCCTGATCCTGGGAGCTTACAATCTAAGAGATTACATTAATAATCTTTATTTGACCATACGGTAAAAAAGATAGCAAAAAAAAAAATCTAAAAGTTTTTAAAGTAGACAGGTGTTCACTGTAATCACTGGAAGGTGTCATGATTGTTGTTTCTTTGGATTTGAGGTCCTAAAGCTGCCATAAAGTGATGCTAAACCCGTATTACTGGAACTAACACTGGAATTAACACCTTAGCAGGCAATTGTTAACCTTTATGGTGCTAAAAATTGTACCTTCTCCTCCCCAGC